CCCCCACCCCCGACGCGAGCTTGGCGCGACAGCCAGAGGAGCCCCGAGGTGAGCATCCCTTGTCTTTCCTCCTCTTTGAGTGGTCTCCGATTGCGGATCGATTCGGGGACCGGGGAGGAGCGTGACGCGCGCGTGCCTGTAGATAAATCCGGGAAAACCGCCCCAAACAATTAGCCCCCTTCCCCCTCCCGGCGCCTCTGCAAGCCGCGCGTCCTCACCCATCTAACGCCCCCTCCTCCCCGCTGCTCTTCACGACCTCGCCCCCTCCCTCTCCCTGCCCCATTTCCCCCTCCCGGTGGGGAGCCGAGGCCCTGGAGCTCCCGCTCTGAGGGGGACTCGTGGGGGACGAGGCTGGAGCCTGACTCGCGTTGGAGCCGCGCACTGTGTAGCTGCTGTCATGTGCCGGGTTCCGACCCGGGGGGGAGGAAGCGAGCGAGCCCGATTCCGCTCCCTTTTGTTTTGAAGCCCGCATTTGCTGCAGCTAGCAGTTGGACTGGTACCCGGCAAACTTGCAGCTGTTGTGACTGCACTCCGTCGAGGTAGGCTGGTCGGGGCCGCAGGCTGCAGCACTCCGGGCTGCCGGCCGCAGGGTCCCCAGAGTGTTCCTCCACGCCGCCCCTCCCTGCCGTGGTGACGGATTGTGTCTGTGGCAGCGGCCGGGTGTGAGTGTGTGTGCGCGCCAGTCCCCGCGGGCGCGGGGATATCCGTCGTCTAGACAGGCTGCGACCCCTCCCTCCGTCTCCGGTGAGCCGGAGGGGGCCGCGGGGGATGGGAGCGGAGGAGGAAACTGAATTGGATCTGCTGGGTGGCAGTTTTGGCCGATCCCTACGGTTGTGATTCTGTTGGCTTTTTAAATGATTACTCCTGTCGCCGCGGCGTGATCGGGCCTGGGGACTAGAAATGCCCAGAGGAGCAAGGGTTAAATTGACAGGCTCTAAAAACCAGCTCTTGGTGGCGAGTGACCCTGGTGGCTGCGGGGTGGGTTCCGGCTCGGCTTCTTCAGGGCGACTGTCTCAGGCGCCAGTCGTGGGGGAGAGCGGGTGGGGGGACCGTAGCTGTGCTGCGGCAGAGATCTGGAGCCCCCGAGGATCACGTGCCAGTGCTTAATGCCTCCGGTGGAGGAGACCCCAGGATCGGAAGCCTGAGGTGGGTTTTTCTCTCCTACGGCATTAAAAGACGATCACCCCAGGATCGTAAGCCTGAGGTGGGTTTTTCTCTCCTACGGCATTAAAAGACGATCAGGAATCCAAGCCCCTTGTCTGAGCGGTGTTGGTTCTGTTTGGTTTTGTGGAGTTTTCAGGGTTAGAGATGGGGGTGTGTGTGAGCAGAAAGGGGGCGCGGCATGTAGAGGGGAAGGATGGCTGGCAGCGCTGTGCGTGTCCTAGCTCAGAGGAGCGAGGCGTCGCCTCCCCCGCCCAGCTGTTTGTGTGTGTACACACACCGCTCAGGCGTGGGGTGGGGGCGGGGCAGACCGCGGCATAGTGGGGACACGCGTGGGCCCAGAGACCGCGCGGGATCGGTCTAGTAGACCCTCATGGTCTGAGTTGGGCAGCTGTCATGTGGGTGTCGGCGCGCCCGGGTTGCCTGGGGAAGGAATCATGAGTCTGGGGCCAAGTGAGACCCTGGAGTCGTGTGTGCTTTGGTAGCCGCACGGGAATTCCTTGTCAGCGGCGCGGCCCCTCCCTCCTCTGCGTCCCCAAAGCCCCCAAACCCGGCTGACTGGGGCGGGGCAGAGAGCTCGCGCAGGCTCGTTTGTGTGGACGCCCCCAGCACCAGCAAATTGACCTTTGCACCAGAGCGCTGGGCTTGTGAGGGCTCTGCAGCCCGGGAGAGAATCTGGGAACTCTGCCCCCGCCCCCCAATTCTCTATCTGAGACTGTAGGGCCTAGAGTCTGCCTCCGTCGCCTCAGCCTGGGCCCAGCCCGCCACAACCCGCAGCCCAGCCGGTCCACGCCACCTGACGCTTGGTCCCGGCAGCCCGGGGATTTTCTCCCCGGGTAGGGGCCAGAGCGACAGGGAGGAAGCCAAGGAGCTGCGGGATCCGTGTCTCTGGAACCTCCGCCGGGTGAAAGTGACACAGCAAGAGCGCTGCCTGGCCCAGCTGGAGCACTGGAAGGAGCCGCCCAGAGAGCAGGGAGGGGCGCCGCCTGCCCCAACCCGGTTCCTCCTGCCCAGCGCTGAGGCTGGCCCCTAAACCTCTGGAATCTCGGCTCCCAGCAGGCAAGGGCCCCGCGAGGAAATTGCCTGGATTTCAAGACAGCCCAATTACAGAGGAACAGAACGCTCTGAACAGACGCTAGAAGGTGGCCAGGACGCTCTCCCGTGGCCTGAGTAAACTCCCTCTGAGTGTTAGAAACAGGATTCAATTTAACACAGAGATCATCTGGTTGATTGTGTCAAGTGTCCGTACTGGGTAACAAGGCTTAGAGGCAGTAATTTTGTAACTCGTTCTGGGTAAAATGTCTTCTGTGATTAGCAGATTGCTGAAATAATAATATGTTTATATGACTTTAAAGATCAGCTCCCCTCCCACCCCTGACCCCTTGTCACTTCATTTCTTAAGAGTATCCTGCGAGGTAAGGGATTGTCAACCCCATTTTACAGATGAGCACACTGAGGCACAGAAATGATGTAACTTGCCTAAGGCTCCTCACAGGGAAGGGCAACTTTCCTTCCTCTGTGATTTCCCTTTGAAGCCTATAGCTTTGAGTGACCACTTTTTTGGGTACTGGGTTCGTGACTCCTTAGGAAGCACTGAACCAGAGACAGGGATGAATTATGCTGGTATTTATTCTTTGTCAAAAACACTTGATTTGCTAACAGCTCCTAATTAAAGGACTGAAGTGTTATCATTCCAATAATTGGTTATTGGTGAATGCATGTCAGCTGTGATATACCCAGTACATGCCAGCATATAATAAATGCATATGCTATATACGTGTTTACATAATACATACCCATGTTCACATAGTTGTGTTCACGGACTCCTTATTGAAGCCAAGGTTTATTCTTCAGTTGCTGGTTTTACAGCCATTTGATTCAAAATGTAGATCTCTGAGAAACCATCCCAAACTATTGTCCCTGTCCCCCCTCCCCAAAATGAAGAAGCCCAGAAAACAGTAAAGACATTGCCTTCATGAATTTCAGAGAGTTCATGTATTTGATGATTCTCAGACACAGCCTGGAGGGATTTTTGGTGTAGCCAATTAAATCAATTAATTGCCTCTTCATTCACAGATATGCATTGGCTAGGACAAGTTTGTGTATCTAGGAGTGCACTGAAGAAATTAATGTATGGTCTCTGCCATGTGTTAGATTTCAAAAGTGTATTCCAGCTGTAGAGATAAGAGTCCATCACATGCTTACTATGCACCTATTTAGACTAGGTACTCTACTTGTTTGGGGCACATAATACTCAACCTGGGGCTTATTTTCACATGTTGGCTGCAAAGGGTCCATAATGCTCTTAGAGCAAGTATGGAAGGATGCAGTGAAGAAAGGCTTTTATGTCCCCATTACTCTGGACTTCTGGCTGTTTGGAATCTCCCCACTGGGCCCAGAGGTATGTCCTTCTGAAGAGGGCAGGCAGCTGATGAGAACTTACCCTGAAGCCAACCAACAGGTTCCCCTGAGCAAGGAGGTGCTGTTGAGGTGTTTTGCATGGTCCCTCCCCCATCATGCACTGTGACTCAGTGAGAAGCTGTGGCTTTGGTCAAGGTCTTACTCAGGCCCTGCCTGAGACCTGTCTTACAGGTCTGTGCAGATGTTTTAGTATGAGGCTGCTTTTTATCTGTTCCCATACTCACTTATGTGGTCCTTAACATTAATCTCCAATTTCATTTCAGTTTTGGGGGTCTACTGCCTTTGTTTGAAGGTTATATTTTTTATACTTCAGATCATGAAAGAAAAAGCAGGAGATGGATGGTTAGGATAGGGGGAAAAATCCTATGCCCAGAGAGAATAGAAGGTACAGACTGGCAAAATGCCATTTTTGAGAATTCTTCAAACTTGACATTTCTGTACAACCTGCCTTTATACTCTTTGGAGAGGGTCTCCTTTCTGCCTGCTCACTTCTGGACCTCTGAGCTCAGTTGCTCAATTTCAGGCCTGCCTTTTCTTCTGCACAAAGCCCAAACTGAGCTGTGGTCAGAGCAGAGTGAGAAGAAACTCGTCCCTGTGTCTTGGGTACCCAGGGGTAAGGAGGGCCTTGCAGATGTAACGTCCATGCAAAGAAGACCTCAAGGCCCAGAGAAGTGAAATGACTTGCTCAAGATCAAGAAAAGCCCTTGGCAGAGTGGGGCAAGAAATCCTGGGTTTTTATATGTCATCTACTTTTCTTTCTCTATATGAGACATTTTGTGGAAGAGAAGTTAGGTCTTTACTTCTCAAAGAGAACTTTAACTTCTTCCCTTTCCTCAGGTTCTGATAAAGGTTCTAGAGCTCATTTTTAGCTTGAGATTGCTTTCCTTAAAGACTGTCCCTTTCTGCCTTGTAGTTCATCTTTGGCATCTGGGAATAAATAAGGCATGCATCTGGGACAGGTTGTGGGCCTTGGGCTTTCTAGTACTCTTGTTTGGTCTTTCCAGCCTTCTGGTAGGGTCCTTAGTAATCTTTTCCAACTATCTACTAAGCTGTTATATCTTTGCATCTTTCCTGGAAGAGAATCCATAAATGTCATTTGATTCTCAATTGACTCAAAGACAAACTGCTGGTGGGGGAGGACAGTAAGGCTGGACAGGTGGTTCATTAGCACGGAGACTAAAATACCCTGTACTTTGTCTGACTTCACAGTTTTCACAATATTTCACACAAATCAGTCCATGTACACTGTTAACATTATCAACATGTGAAGCAGTCATCATCCCCATTTTGCATTTGAGGAAACTGTGTCTCTGGTTAGTGACATATCCAAATCACAAATAAATGGTAGAACGGGGATCTGAACCCTGGTCTTTGGACCTCAAACTCAGTGCCTAGGGTGGAGGTGGCACACCATCCAGCATCTCATTACAGTTTTATGAATAGAGGTCCTTCCTTGAATCTTTCAGAGATTCTTTGTGTCTACTGCAGACTTCTATCCAGCTATGAAGCCAGACCCTACTGCTAACTAACCCAGGGGTTGTGATGGATGAAGAATGGGAGTCAGTTTCCATAGCAATAATAGGTAGAATGAGGCTGGTATGGGATGATTTCATGCAAGAGATGAATTTGGGAGCAAGTCTGGGTGAGTAGTAGAAGCAGCAGTGGCACAAAGTGGGTAAAGGGAAACTGTGTGCATGGGGTAGGATGAAACAGACCAGAGAGGCTTGGTGGATTATCCTGTAGTCAGTATGAGCTTAACAGCTACTGGGCTCTGTTTCTATGCTGTTCAGGGTTCTCCACTAAGCCCTGGGCTACAATAATGAGCCAGGACAGCACCTGCCACAAGAAGCTCACTGGCTACTAGGAGAGACACGCTTTAAACTCCTACATTCAGTTTGAGTGCTATGGCAGAGGAAAGCCCAAAGGTCTTCTTACAGCAGCATGATGTTGGATACTA